AGATTGGTCCAACGGTGACCACTATATCATTCATCGCCCGTCAATCATTCGTTTCATTGCCCGATGATTATCGAAGAGGTGTTGTGACGTGGCGAGCCTGTTACATTTCGCTGGCACTAATGTGCCAATGTTCATCTTAATTTGATACTTGTTGACATTATCACTTTTTCGAGTAAATTGTGCTGAAATATAAACCTTAAAGATACTTTTCTCTATTGCTTCATAATCTTTATGCTATAATCGTTATTTTTATACAATTGGTATTAATCTAGACTAGACGCGCACAATAATTATTTTCGGAGATGTAACATTTGGTAGTTATGCGATATAGCTTCAAAAAGATACGTATACATTATTACCAAATATGTTCTGCACTATTGTTATGTTTTACTATCTTATTTTCTTAGTAAGACTTGATCAATTCTACAATTCCTCTTTTCGTACCGATTATGTGTAGTCTCACAAACTTGTATCATCACGGTACAAAAGCTTTCCAGATGTCTAGCAAGAGTGAGCCCCATTACACAGATAATTCCAAAGTTAATATTTCCGATCATCTTACTTATTGCTGGTTATATTATCAAGAACATCATTATTTCTTATAATCTACTGCCCAACCTAAAGAAATGTTAATTAGTTGGGCCGTGTCGCAATCTTTGTTATCTAGTACTCTTAGGGCTTGCTAAGTTTGCACGAGCTTAAAAGGGTGATCAACAGCTCTCAGGTACCCCAACATAGAGATCATATAGCGCAATCTGCCTAACAAATTTCATTTCCAATGCCGAGTGGTTACAAGTCTCGTAACTCAAGAAGATACATGTACGCCATTCGATACTTATTTTGAGGTCTTGTACTCAAAAGTATTATGGCGATAATTCATGTACATTGGAAACTTATAAAATCGCCTCGGCACTATAATTATTAGCAGTGTTCTTTGGATGTTGTATTCTGACGATTAGCTCGCACTATATGTATTGCACACGTTATATAATCCTAATAATCGGCATCGAAGTTGTATCAATTTTACAGACTTGCATTTTTACAATGGATGCATGAACTTTGCGCCTTCTCATATATACTTAATATCGAACATCGGCATTATACTGCATTTCCCGATAAGAACATGAAGCATGGGACGCTTACCAGACCATATACACATTTAATTCTTGTACTCAGATATGTTATCGCATACTTGTCCAGCCACGTGTTGTATATGCAAGGTAAAGATAAATGTTGCAACCCAGTATGTTCGATATATCTTTTACGCGTGAAACGTTAATTTCCGGCCGAATGTGCCAGTCGTGAGTGTCATCATCTTTCACCTGTATGTAATTTCAGTATTAATAACAATTTAGTCATGCACCGTTTTGTTGATTGCCGATCTGTCTATCAAATCGATACGTGCATCTCATTTAATGTATGCATGCATTGTTCTCAATACTAACACGACCAACCATAAAACATTGTGGGTCTCGTAGTAAGTGGTGTAAACATGCTTTAATGTGGTACAACTAAAAGTAGGTCTAATTATTCTATAACTTGCGTGGACCAAATCCTGCCTGCCTTTCGATTGGCATTGTAGTGGCGTGAACCACATGATAACCCATTTTGAGGTCATATGAAGCAATTGGGCATATACCTTCATCCGATCTGATTGATGCGTTTTTATATTTTCGTATACATGCCCTGTCATTCTGACTAGACAATCCTTTATCACAATATTGTCTGGTCAGAAGACAGGGCATGTACAGGACATGGGACTGTGAATACTTCTTGCAATTGATTTTGGCAATATTTGGCCGTCCACTATAAATCAGTATATCAATTTTGTTTATGCCAATCAACAGTCTGCCTCATTGTCCAGGATAGATGCCTTAGTTAAGTTGATTGCGAGCCCGACGGAAATTCTTGGTGAGTGCGCAAGTTTATAGCCGGACTTGTCCGTTGCAGCTTAAGATGTGTCCTGCCTGTCGATCTACCTGTAAACCACGCAGGGTGTACTGTCCACGTTTTGTATTCCAGAAGTTCATGCACACATAGTGTAAGAACGCATCTTATGTTGCACAATGTGGTAAGATCGCCCGTTGCGACAGCCCCAGAGTCAACCAGTCATGCGCGCACACGCGAGCATATAATTGGTTCATAAAGATGGATGAGTAAGAAGATACAATTAGGCACGTGCGTAACGCTTTGTGGCAGCGAAGCTCTCACGCCTCTGGCGTTACAGCATTACCGATTTCACCAATTACAAACTTTGCCAACTCTTTGTCGTGTGACACTTCATTTACAAAAGATACAAGTGCGCCGTGGACGTTAGTGCTCGAAGGCTAGCATCTTTCCCTAAGACACTATGATGTGATGATATGATGTGCTGTAGTACAAATTACCTTGTCAAGCTACTAAAGACGCAGTTAAGCTGTGTTCGTTCAAGGCATCACTCGTTCAGGACATGCTACTCACGCGTTAAGAGTTCTTAAGTGGCAGTATAAGACATTGATATGCTTGGCAATCTCTTTATCCGTATCACAAATGACGAGATTAGGATCAGTAACATTTGATGTTACCCTTCTTACTCGGCGGCAGATGAATATCCAGGACTCGCCTTCTTAATGCAAATCTCATCATATTAGTCATACTTCCGTGCCCGTTGTTGTTGTTCTTGTTGCTTTGTACGGCAGTACCAACTTTTTTCGCTTTTCTATACCATTAGCATGTTAACGAGTTTGCTGCGTCACAGGTCGACCACGGCATTGCTGTGATTATTACACCCTAAGGCGCACGAATCAGCCTTTGGCCGCCGATCTCAAGCATCCAAGTCTGAAATGATCAAAACTTAATTGAGCTGTACTATCTGCGATCTTAAACCATAAGGCAAGCTCCAGAGCTTGCTCCTCTATCATGCTCGGCTGGGATACTATATAGGCTCAAGTTTTTGTAACAGATTTAGTACAATACGCCATCTGGAGAGCCTGTCAGACTTATGTAATTGCCTCTGCATTGGCAGCTAATTGTAGCGCGATGTGAGTAGCAGCTCACACGGCTAATCAGCGTAAAAGCTTGTGGCGTCACTTAAACGAGGCATCGGCTGGATGGTGAACCCTTGTTTTTGTGTGTTCAGAGAATTCGAATGCCGCCATGAAGCGATATACCTCATTTTAGCGCCTGATGGTGGATCTTTGATGCCATGAGACGCTGCGTTCGACACACTTCAACTTTTTATGAGAGGGACCCCAATTAAGACTGAACATAGGAAGCACAACCCGCACGATAGATGATGAAAAGGGACCACGACTTTACTAACACGCAATAATGACCATCCCTTTCTCATACGAATATTCTAGAAACAATGAAGGGACCACGGTCGTTTTATGCATGGCTCCTGCTGACCCGATTGTCGTGCGCCACCCTTTCTTACACAGCAAAAGCGTACCTTGCCACAAGCTAGCTGCAAAGTGAAATGCACTATCCGGGTGCCGAACGCCATCGGGAAAGCTGCAGATGGCAACTGTCCGCGTACGAACGTACAGGACAGCTCTTTTCTTGGTTTTATGCTTGTGTGCAAATAATGCATACGCGCGTTTTCTCTACCTGCTCAAGAAGCGCGAACTAGTCGGGGCACTAGAGTAGTGACACGTTCGCCGATAATCACATTCAGCATCGCGTGAGATTGTTCTTGTGGGACTGGTTGATGGACCATGTAGATGTCATGGCGCAAGCCTTTGACCTTATTGCACAGTGCTCGTCGTTTCTCAGCGCTTGTTTCATTCTCGATTGACTCGGACATCGGGCCTATGAATCTAATCGCTTTTTCGTCCGTGCGAGACATGATTATGTGGCATTACTAGCGGTTTTTAGGTGCTGATATTCTACGGATTCAATTTATATAGCATCACTAGCGTTCTTTAGGTGGTGGGATTTTACGGATTTAACTGACCACATGTCCGATCAAATACGTCTTCAAGTACTCCCCCAAAATTCTTCATTTGTGCTTAGCCCTCAATTCTACGGGTAGCCGCTCGGCGATAGCACGTACGTAGAGCGCAAGAAGAGCAAAACCGGTAGTTGCGCAACCTGCAAACGCTTCCGACATGGTCGTACATCTGTGCATACATGTCATTAGCAGTCATCCTTGTCGTCATGGCAGACCTGATACATTTCCACGGTTATTTTCGTGGACGCCAGCATGCAGACGCCGTCGCTGACGGGATGGCACGTCGATAGGCAAGGTGAATCAGAGGGCGGCACGCCTTGAATCAATGACATGAGAGGTACGTTTCGACTGGAACATTGAACTAAATGAGCTAACTCTTGAGACAGCTGTGGAGCCACCGCGCATGTTGCTTTGATTAAGAACTGCATCAATCTTGTTCTTGGCATGTTTTTGCCAAGCTCAAGCACCGTCGCCGGAGCACAACCCCTCGGGGACCTTTAAACGATCCGGCATCGAGCGCCCGATATCCAGACCAACTTTGATGAGACACGAAACTTGTATGATGACCAGAGGTTGGTCGAGAAAGAGAAGGAGCATCGGGAGATGGTCGCGGGGTCAACCGATAAAGGTGTGGTACACGCATACGCACATAAAATGGGGTCTTGAAGAAAAGCACGTTTTGACTTGTTTTCCGATCCCATCGTAAGAACGTGTTGTGACTTCGGCATTGCTGCGAATACCGCTTACCCCCTAGGACTAATAGACCAACAACGACTTGGCTTGAGAGAGAGGGAAAGACTGTCACGTCGTTGCGCCACACCAACGACGTGTCGACATGAGGCGACTAGACAGTTCGTTGAATGACGTGTGAGGATCCGCGCATCTTTAAAGATTCAGTGCCTCTCTTATACGCCTACTCAAAAAGTTGTGGTGAGGTTGCGTGGCGCGCCGAGCTTGGTCGTAGTGTTGAGCAGCAAAGCACCTCACTTGCGATACGTCTTGCTCCACTTCATTCTCCAACTCGCCATCTCCAAGTCAATTCGGTTTCTCAACAGTCTTCAAAAGGACCATGCCGCTGCAAGTGCCTGGCTACCACACGAACACCCCGTTACACCCGTCTTTCGACAAGGATATCCGTGGCCTTCATCTTCTATACGACTACGATGCCGAGGGCGCCGATGGCAAACCCGAGAAGTGGCGCTACGAGATGTGGTTCTTCTCGGAGAACCGTATCGTCTACTCGATCCATGGTGGTCCCATGGCTGGTCGTCTGAACTACCAGACCGTCGCGTTCCAGTGCATTCGTCCGGGCGAATTGTGGCAGTGCAACTGGCTTGAGGAGACGGGCACCATCGTGTCGCTCGTGTACGACATCACGAATAAGAAGATAACGACCATGATTGGGTTCTCGAAGGGCCATTGGGAGCATTCCAAGGAAGCTCACGGTGACAAGCGCAACCCGGAGGACTTTGCGCGCTGGCGTAAGCTCGCTGAGATCGGCACAAACCGCGATCGTCTTATCTTGAGCGAGCAAGCCAACATTCTCAAGACGTTCAAAGGAGCTGGTGATCTCGTGCCAATCCCTTTGGACGCTGAGACTCTATAATCTATCGAATCTCTCAACAGTTTTGACGTCAGACGTGACTCGCTCTCTTTTTTCCATGGTACCACATTTGCGCGAGCACAGACGAGTGAGTCCACTCGTAATTGGTCATGAACGTGATATCTTGTAATTGGTGTTCACTTGATCAATACATCAAACTCCGTATGAAGACTGTACTATGGTATTCACTTCGACCTTGTCTTTGTTTTGTGTTAAACAACGTCTTTGGTGGCCACATGCTGCGTTTTTGACAACAGACACCGCTCGCGACCGCGGCCTTTTCTGGTGGTTCGGTCCTCCGTCACAGTGCGACTCTACATCAGCAGCTGCTTCATTCGCACTACTGCCGTGCTTCTCGCTTTGTCTATGGCACCCATCGCGCTCAGTCCGTCGTCTATTGGAGCGCGCCAGCCAATTGGCGACTACTTTCGTCGCTCTTGACTTCCCAAGCAGCCAGAAGCTCTAGCTGCAGCTTGTGCAACAGTACGTGCTTTGACTCAGTTGCCAGAGTCTTCAGCAATCCAAGAACACGTGGTACTGCTTCACGTTTCATTGGTAGCGTCAGCAGCAGCGGAACGGTGTCAACAACATACCCAGCACAGACGAGCGCAGTAAGCGTCGGCCCCAAATGACCAGACGGACGAGCAGGCATGGCCTGTTCCTTCATGGCTACTTCGGTCACTAGCTTTGTAGTTGCTCCAGCGTGTTCCTCTGCACGCCCTTGTATTTGGACGCTGTCATCCTGCTTTGTACGAGTGCGAGAAAGCTGAACGCTTGCCAACCAATTTATACAGAAAGCAGACATGGCTGTGGGCGATGTGGCGCTGCACTCAGGTAGCCACAAAGCTAGAGCGCGTTGTATAGCGGGACACATTGCTGTGAGCTCGACAGTACTGCCACACTTGGTTGACTGAAAAAGGCGCATCTCGGACGAAAACAGCGACGCACCCAGTTTGTCAAGCAGTGCGACCTTAGCGTGACGTTCATGTGGCGATCCGGCGCTAAGGGCTGTAGTTGCGAGATACATTGGGGTCCATCCAGCAGCGTTCGAAAGATTAACTTCTTGAGCTCTTTCCTTTCCCATCAGCGACAACACAGAGTGCATGACCGACGGTACTCCGTAGCGCGCAGCGTAATGCAGCACAGACTCCTTTCTTCCTTGCGTTCGAATATCGAGCAGTAGCTCAGCAGATCTCGAAGCGCAGAGGACTTCAACAAGCTGTTCGTATTGCTTCACAATTGCTAAATGGAGCGCTGTCTCACCTCGGGCATTGACGACGTCGATGCTCGTGTAGTTGCCGTCTAGCAGGAAGCGAACCGTATCGACAATTCCAAGCTCCGCGGCCTGTAGCAGCATAGCACCAGCAAAGTCCTGTCGCGTGGGCGTAGCAACGAGGGAGTGGTGGTTCAAAAGTAATTGTAGCGCTGTAATATCTCCACGTCGAACGACAATCGTCAACGGGGTCTCGCCATCCTTATCCGGGAGATCAATTGGCGCACCACGAGAAAGTAGCAAGTTTGTCACCAATACACTCTGCTCGGGAAACGTTCGTAGACACACATGGAGCGGAGACCTCCCAGTGAAATCCTGAGCATCCATACGCGCTCCATTCTTCAAGAGCAGACTCGCTATGTCAAGTAGCTCGTCATTGGTGGCGAAAAATAGCGCTGTCTTGCCGTCGTGGTCACGCGCCTCCGTCTCCGCGCCGTGGCGAAGTAGCAGCTTTACAACGCTCAGCGCATGGTTCAGTCGCTCACCATCTTCCTTACGGCACTGTAGTAGCAGCACAATCAGTCGTTATGCAAACACCGCCCCTTTCTGCAGAAATAGCGCATAATGCATACTGACATCCATGACCGTATTGAGCTGCACGACTGCAGTTCCCTGAAACACCGCGCGCAACGTTTGGACATTGTGCCGCATGAGCGTTGCCATTAGCGCCGTCACTCCGCGATGGTCTTTCTCGTCTACGGCCTGGCCCTGGTCCAGCAAGAACTTCAAGACGTAGTAGCTACCGTTCCAAGCAGCCGCGTGGAGCGTGGATGCCCCCACCGTAGGGAGGTAAAACCCGTCCCAATCGCAAAACGACGGAGCCTCGTCGCTATCGTCGACGTGTCGAGAGCTAGACGTTGTAGCGACCTGACCATCGACATGCGTTAGTGGCACGACGCGCAGACAGGCTAGTTGGACAACGTGACGACACAGGCGGACAAGAGTAGTACACGCTCGTCACATTTGCGACTTCTATAATGGCAGTACGTACGCGATCGAGCGCGAGCCACTTGGGATGCGTTTTGAAAAGCTTTTCCATCGTCTTGGTATCACCTCGTTGACCGGCTTCGAGCCACGCCTGCTCTACCTCCGAGCAGGTGGCGGTAGGCTGGGGCGCTTTCGCCGCCATGACTGAATCGGCTCCGATTCCGCGGACAGGTCGGTCGATGGCCAGTGGTGCGTGTTTGAAAATGATGCGTATACTGCACTAGCGAAGTCGTGGATAGATGCAGTGCAGCTTGGCCCGCCATGCTGAACTTGCAGACGTTGCTTTGTCAACTGCCAGTCAAATCACAACAGAAGCGACCTGGGGTCGAAAAATCGTTTATTTGCAGCTTGAGCGCCGGGTTGGCGAAGAAAAGGCACCATGGCTGGCTGGTTGGCATCACTTGTAGGTCGGACGCTGATCCTTGCTTTGCTTCATGGTACCAACAAGGAATGGCGGTAAAGCGCCTGAGCAACCAGACTTGGATGAGCAACCATCACTCGTCTCGTCTCTGAGTTTCAGCTCAGTTACACATCAGATCATTGCGGATTTTGTACAAGGCCCGGCAATAAATGTAACTAGCTCCAGGTGTGCTTCCACTACTGGGCTGGGATCTCGTCACGTCATATACACTTGTTCACCGCAAGGTACCGAAACCTCTTCTTGGTGACCTGGACTTGTCGACATAGACTTCGCAACCAATCACATCGGTAAATGCGTCAGTCCAGTGGCCACATCCGAAGCTGAATCCAAACCCGCTTGACAGAGAAATTTGGCACAAAAATCTGGACAAAGGAGATCAGGTTGCCGTGAACGGCAAAATCAAGCATGGAAATGTCTACTAAGTTCTATCATACTTGGCATGCCGTGTAGAAAAAAATGTTGCTAAAATGTTCTCAAGCTACAAGAGCGAGGTGAAAACTGCGTGCTTTGCACCCACCGCTCAAGCCACAATGCTTCTTTTCTACCGAGCCTCGTAGCAATGCTCAACATACAATCATTGAATAAGCCCAGATTTCGAGATATGTTTCTTGTCTTAAAAGCTTAATATCTGCCTTCACGTCCTCTCATCCCACAAGATCAGCGACAGTCATTCAAGGAGGCCAGCTGCTGAGTTCCGTTCATTGTTCATAGGGCGGAACCGGCCCGACGAACAATCGAAAAAGTACGCGGATACATCAGTGGTCTCGTAGATAGTCTTCCACGTGCAACCTATGGGCTATTGCTACGCCTGTGAGCTTCTACGTCTGTTGACCGACAAGCAGGCAATGTCGATGCCTTGTGGTGTTGGTCAGTATAGTGTCGCTTTTGAAGATTCGTGTACATGATCTTTTGTGTTATTGAAGTAGTGACGAATGTTTGACAAGTAACAAGTGACATGAGTAATGCGCTTTTCTTACTCCAGACAAAAACTTGGCGATCTCGACCGTCAAAAATACCTGATTGGCTGACAACACAGAATGCATTCCTATTTGGCTGAGTTGGACGAGAAAAATCGAGGAGACAAACCTGTTTCAAACTGCTTACAATCAGCAAATATCGGACGTCACCGAAGCTATTTACCCTGACAAGAGGGCCCGCCTCACGTCTTGTCGAACCAGGCGCGTAAACCCTTGTGGTAACAAGGGTTTACGCGCGTAACGGCGATGTTTTTGTCGCAAAAGTAGCTGCTCTTCGTTCCAGATGGTCTTGTTCTCAACGCAGACTCGATTCGAAACGGCCCGATTTCTGCCAATTTCGCCAATTTGTGTACGCGCTGCTGGTCAGATGTACTGAAACTGCCTGAGACGTAACAAGTGCATCGTGTGATGCGCTCGGCTGCAAAATTTTGCCTCGTTACGTCAAGCCATCTGTTTACCATGTTTGCGAAGAAGTGTTCGTAATCTGTGTCTTTTCTTGCAGTCTAAAGTCTGGTCTGGCTATAGATAAAAATTCATGAGCTGTATTACGGCAGGCAAACTGCTCATGCTCCTCTCATCGACTCCAGCTCTATATGCAGCGAGGCCTTCGATACTCTTGTAGACCGCGCGATCATTGTTAAGTCCGTAATCGAGCATAGTATCTGCCAACACATCGACACTGAGTGCGCGAACGGTCATGTATGCGCTTCCAGCATCGCGATCACTCTTATCGTTTACTGTCCGAGCAGAGATTTTTTCCGCAAGTACGGTCCTTGCACTCATCGTTGCCACCGCTCTGTATTGTTTCTCTGCCGTTCATCACAGCCGTATTGTGCATGTCATTCGCATCTACTGTCCGCCCTTTATCCGAGAGCTAACAAAATAGCAGACTTTGTGGCAAATTCGAGTCAATTGATCATCACGAGATCCAGATCTGGTCATCAGCTTTAAAAGCACATTTTACTGCCGACCTCATGTTGATTGGTCAAAAAGGGGTTAGCTCACGAATACAAGCTTTATCTCGAGCTTGACGAGTCCCAATCGTAACGTCCCCTTCCAGCGTAGCCACACAAGGGGTTACGCTCATACCCGCCCGCCTCTCTTTCTTGCCATATAGTCAATATGGCGGCCAAATTTTCCATGGCCAACACGTCGGGGCTCTTCGACTCGGCAGCCCATGTAAAAGCGTCGGAACGAATGCAGGATGCAATGGAGGAGTTGAAAGTGAACAACCAGCGGCAAGAAGAAGCTCATGGGCAGCATTTGGAGCAGGAGAATCGACAAGAGGAGCTTCGAGTGCGTCGAGTGAACGAGGCACTTGCAATTAAGTCTGTGCAGCTGGAGGAAGATCACACTTACGTGGGACTGCTGCACCACGAAACCGACGATCTCGAGTCGGAGGATGAGGCGATGCTGGACGAGTTCAATGAAGACCCGGAGCTCGAACGGTCTGTCTCCTTACAATATCTGCACATTGCAGTTCTATGTTGCACGACATTTTGCTTACCTTTTGCAATGTGTCCGGGCAGAATACGCGTGGCAAGGTTGAAGCAGCTAAAGCTCGAGTATGAAGAAAGTCAAGCGTTGATGGCAAAAGGTCATGGTGAGTACCGTGAGATTACGCAGGATGAGTTTCTAAAAGAGGTGACGAGCAGTCCATTGGTGGCTGTGCACTTCTATCATCGCGACTTTGAGCGCTGTAAGATCATGGACATGCATTTGACACAACTAGCTCGACGCTGCATCGAGTGCAAGTTCCTGAAAATGAACGCAGAAAAGGCTCCATTTTTCGCGGAGAAATTAATGATCCGAGTTCTGCCAACAGTCGTGTGCTTTAAAGACGGCGTGGCTTTCCCGAATCGCGTCGTTGGATTTGACGGACTCATGGACAATGACGAAGATGATGAAGAGTCCAAGTCTCGTTGTCCAACAAACTACCACGCTTCATCTGGCGACAAGTTTCGAACTGCAGCTGTGAGCATTGCCATAGTTGCAATATGCAGTCTCGTTTGATGGGTGAATTACACGATACTAACGTGTATCTGCTGGTGTGATCTTGTTTGTAGCTCGCCCGTAAATTGGTGGAGATTGGCGCTATTCGTGAACACGACGAAAGCGATCAGTAAAAGAAATTGAAGCACTACACAGAACGCAAAAAGAAATAGTCGATTAGGTTTCTCGCGTCGTGACGCGTATGACAACATGGGTTTGCTCACTTGTTGCACCACTTTACCACAAACTGGTCATTTTAGCGAATATTTGCGTACGCTTCACTCTCCCTATTCGTCTTGTAATTCCAAATATTCGGAATCCACACTGATATTTTGCAGAGCGTCGCTCGGAGCATGCGTCGCTCATTCCAGCTACCGCGTTCTTCGACTTCGCTTGTTGCCCCGTTGCCGCCTCACGACGAACCGGTACTCAGCCAATCTCTTCTTTATATACAGATTGTAATGCACTGTCGAAATCCTAATCTTTCGTCGAATTGTAGGTGCCGTCTCCATTACAAACTATGAAAAACGCGGCGGCCATAGGCCATCGACGGGCCTCCAAGCCCGTAGCTAGGGATGCCCATTATAACGGCTCGGATGCTGCGGTTGTGGCGGTGGCTGTCGCCTACCCATCGTCGTCGTCCAAGCACCACCAAAGTCCCTTTGAGAAACTGAACACACTCAAACTTCTATTCGATTGCGGCCACTTGACCTCTGACGAATACCAAGAACGCAAGACACAGATTATAAACGACATGACGGGCACATCGATGGCGCGAAAACAATCGCTTTCGCCCAGTTCCAGAAGAGCCGTGGCGGGGAATGCTGATCTGTTGCCTCCACCACTGCAACCTCTGCTCAAGACAGTTGTGCCTCATGGTCCCCCGGATTTTGCTCGCATGCGAAAAGAACGGGCCGACAAGTTAAGCTTTGATGTCGACACACTAGAGTGGCATTCAACTCCAGTACGCGTCAAGCTAGACTTGGTGCCATTTGCCACGGGAAAACTTCGAAATGCTTACTACCTACAGGTTGGAGGATTTTTGCTTTCGTCTGCAGTTTCGTTCGTCGCTTACCCGCTATTGACTGATGTGTATAGGAACTTGGTGTCGATGGGGGCTCACCACGATTATTTGTGGCAAAAGTGAGTCGTCGTGCTGCGGAGCCGAGCACGTATCTATGTGATGTCGAGATGCAAGCTGTTTGTGCTCATTATGCAGCCCTATACAACGAACATGAACCACCGCTGAAAGTGTGCTATGCAAGATCTTGGTTGCTAAAATTAAGAGATCGAGAGCGAGGGACTCTTGTCTGCTCTGTGGAAGAATTTCTACCAGGTGCGTATGTGAAATACAGCAACAATAACGGCTACGTCGGTCGAGAAACAAGCTCAACGGAAGAGCGAGAACGCAATACGCCGCAGGCTTTTTCACACTTTTCCTTTGTGGCTTCGGATTTCCAATTGATGATTGTCGATATCCAAGGAGTTGCTGATAGCTACACTGACCCGCAGATCCACTCGGCAGATGGCCGAGGATTCGGTGTAGGGAACCTTGGAACTTTTGGTATGGAAAAGTTTCTTGAAAGTCACCGGTGCAACGAGGTTTGTCGGTGGCTGGGTCTTCGCAGCATTAACGAGCAGTACAAATCAGGCGGAACGGCTGCTCCAGGATACGAAATGCCTTTTGGAAGAGCTATCAAAAAGTCTACGAATCGGATAACTGAGGAGCGTAACACGTTCTCGACTTCAGTTACAGTGAGCGAAGCATTCGGAGACACTGCAACTACCGATTGGACTGGACATGACATTTCTCGATCAGTCAGTGAGGACGAAAAAGATGAAGATAGCGGAGATGGCGGAGACGGCGATGGCGGTAGGTGCCTAAATTCAGCTTTATTTGCTAACGTTGCATCGGCTACAATGTCACAGCTGGGATCGCGGTATGGTAAGCTGAAGAGACCAAAGCAGCTGTATACCCCGTCTCCAGCCGCTGCATGTGGTCTTACGAGTGGAAGGTCAGCTGGCAGATCAAGTGACGACGAAAGTAGTGGCTACTTTTGTCACCCATCACACCTCAGCAAAGGCGCCGGCGGCATCGCAGGCAATTCTGCAACTGGGGAAGTTAGTCTGTGGGCGTGCGTGATCAGCACTTTATTGTGCGGGTGTACATAATATGTTGATTGCGCGTCCACTTTTTCAGCTGCACCCCAAGGCGAGTGCATGTACTTGGCCTTAACATACATCCAATGAGCCATTGGAAATAAGGTCACTGCATGAATGCGCGTTCCGAGCATGCGTGTTATTCGTTGTGATGGTAAAGAATAAATGAGTTATCTTACTAAATATCGTGCCACTCGAGCTATCTATGCCACCCTTATCAGACTGGCGGCATTAGTTGTTTTCAGCTTTTGGCCTTCAACTGTTCGGCATATTGTTGCTTAATTATTATATGTATGAGGCCATATTTACATGGCTTAAAAGTCAACAAATTCAGCACCACTTGGGTGACAGTGTTGAAGATTACGGTTTGCTCAATGGAGATGTTAGCACGGGATGGTGTTTTTAGAACTGACATTTACATATACCTGCGCACTTGGCTATTCCTAGTGCACACTACTACTACTCTTGCAGGTGCTGTGAATGGTCTCATATCTTCTCTTTTCCGCACGCTTCTAGACCAACCGATTTTGTTGTCATTCAGAACCCTTCGCTTCTCACCCACCAAGACCTGGCAACGTCGCACTGACCCTGTCGCTCCGCACCCATTACGTTTTTGACGACTGTTGCTACGTGGCACCTGTCGCTGCAAATTCAAATAACAACAGACAGTGTGCTAAGTGCTGATAGCGAGCGTCGGCATAAATCTCACCAGCGACTTTATGTCCTCGTCGCCACGAAATGCTGGACAACAGGAGACGTAAACTGAGCAATGTGAGTACTACATTGAACGTCACATGTCGTTCATTCTTGGACTTAGCTGTATCATGTGTCGACTGGAGACTTATTTTCCTATATATCGCAAGAATTTCGCTTGAAATGGTCATTCACCCTCGCCGCGTTCTGCGTGATCATGTACCTGTCTTGATCAGTTGGGATTCGAGAGATCCCATCTTTGCGTGTGGTAGTCTGTGCATCATCTAGGCAAATTTTATTGAGCAACAGAGCCCGTTATTAGCCCTGTTGCGGAATAGTTGACAAACGCGTGACGAACGCGTAATCATATTTACATTTTGTAGCAAAAACAACATTCTTGGATCTCCCGTAAGCATCATCCAGTTGACATAAAAATTAGTTTATGCTTTTCCATGTCGTCATTGATTGATAGTGTAACTTACTGCACGCGTACGCCATCCTCCATCGTGCACAACCAAACAGTTGTCATGCTTCGAATGAGGGATGCTAGTAATGAATCTTCATCTTAGGTCTTCTGGTGGATGTTTATGCTCCGGCAAAGTTGCAAGTCTAACTTCTTTCTTTTACAAACCGAGGACAGTTTTAATATCGCAGCTCCCTGCCCCCACATTACCATATTCGACATGTGGAGTACTAAAATTACTATTAACGATGCACGAGTGACACAAGTAAAATTTGTAATTTTACACATCCGAGCGCTCTCCGAGCAAAATCAGGATTTATAGTTAAATGTAGATGATTTTGATTGCATGTGTTTAAAGGGCGTAGGAAGTCAATGTAATAAGTATGTGCAGTAACAACTTCTCTCTTTCGAACACAACAACTTGCATCTATAACGGCACTACAACTTGAACATGTCAAGTTGCCTATGGCGTCCGTCAGGTCCTCCCGTCATCTTACGATCGCTCCGCCTGGCCTCCGAATCTCCTCGTCACATCCTTAACAAAACAGCTAAACAGGTGAGGTCAGACGTCGCCTGTAGTTGTCCAGCACATAATTCTATGAGTCTTGAGGTATAAAGACTTACGAAAATAACGCGAATGTACCAGTGTCAATAGATAGAGCCTAATCAGTTGCAGCCAAGTTGTTCGCGTGACATTTCAATATCGTCATGGCTCTCATGTTTCGAGCAATCGAATGTTTGTGCGAGTGGAGCAGCAGTGAGGCAAGTTCATACCATGTGCCATTCTTCAAAGTAGACATACTAGCCGTTGTTCGGTCTGACCACGGTGCGCGGCGGTGAGCATTGACTTTGTGGGCATTTACTTATAATACGCTTTGATTAGGGACATTTTGGAGTTCTCTTAGGTTCTTCCTGTATTGAATGCGACAACGTGGGAAAGGCAGGCCCTAAATTAGAGCATATAAATAGTCACATTTTCGCACTTTCGCAAAAGTACGAATTACTATAGAAGCATCATCGAAGAGGAATGTTCGCATACAAAACGACAGTATTTAGGTATTCAATATAGTTAGGTTTCTTAATAAACCATCTTCTGTCTTGAGCTAACTATATTAAACTACAATCTCCTGTGTGGGTTTCTTGCTCACCATCCATTGCGCGCGTCCAGCAGTGATTGGTGGTTAATCTGGTTGATATGTCGTGAACATGAACCATTAGGTGTAGCAACCCATCAAAGAAATAAAAACCCTCGGGGTAATATTCCTATAGCCTTACTCCTTACGGGTAATTTCAACTAGGCGTTATCTAAATAGATAATGTTCAAATTGATACGAATATTAAAAATTTTATGTAACGGGCTCACCCCGTTACACTCATACTCATACAATACGACAGGAAACAACGGATAATAACAACCACCGGCTGGACTTATAAAATGGCGTACGAAGGCCCGAGAAAGGAACAACTGTCGCTAAACAGCTCCAAATCCCACCTGCCTCTCTCATTTAAACCAGCTTTCCTTCCAGGAACGAAATGGAATTTACCTTTAACGGTTTTGTGGCTACCCAAGGGTATGCCATCGTAGTCGCCTGATCAAAGAAAACAAGGTAAGTCTGCAACAGGTCTACTACAAGTGGGATCGTGGCGCTACCTACAGAACAGACATAACCTCACCGGCGGTCTCCAGCATTTTAATGGAATACCTCTTGCGTAATTGTTTTCTGCATTTTCTTACCCATAATGATCTGCCCGGGGTGGGACATTCAACGATATGTACCAGTACGTACCTCTTCACAGACGGTAGCCTCAAGGTACACAAATACTGCACGAGGTGCGTGTTTATCCGTACCTGTCTTGTCAAAAAAACGTCGCAAACGAGTCGTTGCAGTCGATAGTCAGGTCACTCGGCATCGAACCATCCAATCGGACACCATGTTTAAGACAGTAGAGATCCCAGCAGGTATTGACTGTCTTAATACCGCCCTGGCCAAGATATATTGAAAACATCTCGCGCTTGAGTGGACCTGCCGTATAAGATAAAGAGATAGGGAGCAGTATTAAGTGACTACGTGTTTTACATATTATACTGCACTATCAAATGTAATGTCCTTTTTTATTATCTAAGGCAGGCTGGTGAGCCCGTAGCAAATGTAGTGTCTTTAGTCGTTGCCTAGTGAAAAATCAGTAATTTTGATCGATAAAATTAGAGATGTTTGGCCAAGCGTAAAGTTATTTTTATAAATCTTTTTATACGAACTTTTGCTTGATTGGCTCATCATTTAAGCAACCTTACAATAACTCTTTCAACTTATTTTTCAAATACCATGGGTGCAGCATTATGTACCACTCTCATGTCGATAATATGAGGCCTTGGTCATGGCGTTCTGAAGAATAGATAAATAAGATTCAGTATAAATACCCGGAAAAGTTAAAGTTTTAATACGATGACAAAACACAAGATGAAGTTAAGTGCGCTGTCAAAAAGTTAACTTATGCGAAGTTTCGTTGTCTATTGCGATCTTTGGTATGAGACCTGCCATCCGGTAAAATTCTCGATTTTGGTAAGCCCAGATAGTGACTGTGACATCATCAGCAAGTTCACGCGCTTTGCAATACAGTGCTGCGAGCTGCGACTTGCGAGGGGAGAGGTACAGTTGGAGTAGTGTAAGCACCAGTTTAAAATACCCTCAATAATATGGAGCGGGGTATACCTGCCGTGTTTTCGCTGCTCTAGACCTTGGACTTGACCATGATTTTGATGCGAAATTGTCTGCCGTGGTGGACTATTCAAGAGCTATGCTGGATATCCAGACGATGTGAGTGAGGTGTGTCTGTGCTCGAACTCGTGCGATGACAGAACCTGCGCTATCTGGCCTAAAATCCCCTCACAAGCCGCCATGTTTTACTGGCGAAGGAGAAAATTTAAGCAATTATAGCGTCCTGGAACATATGTGGTGCAAAAATTGTATCTGTCCGAGAGAAGCGCACCCGAGCCAGCACGGTTTTACGGGCACCGCGGCCAGATTGGCAAGTGCTCCCGCAAAAAAGGAGAGAGATATACGCAAAATGGCTTGGGTAATCGCATTATGGCTCTACTCTGATACTTTAATCATCTGGTTTTTGTAGCCGCTCCAGCTAAAACGCGTAAATCATTTTTTTTATATTTTTATTAATTCGTTTTTTTTATTTAGATAAACATTTTTTTTAAGTTTTTTTTAAATTATTCATCTCGAAAAATTGAAAATTTTTAATAAATAATTTTATATTATTATTTGGATGATAAAGATTAAAGTGATTTATAATTTTACTATAGGATAAACTATAATATTTTTTTGCATTTTTTTTGAATTAGATATTTATTTAAAATATATAAAAATATAGCAATTATTTCCGAAATTAAACGTCTATCTAAACCCGGAAAACGTTTATATATTACTAATAAAGATTTATATAAAAAAAACTGGATTTTATGAAGCAGCGGTGACGACTCCGCGAGCCTCCAAGTTTCTTTAGCCCGGATCTAGATAAAGTCTAGATAAGCTTGGGCTATGTCTCACGCATGTTGCAGGTTTTTAAAAGGACCAGAAAAAAATTTTAGGCGGTGGTAATGTAGCTTCGGCAAGGCGACTAAATTTGCCCCATACGTCTGCGATGAGCCTACACCGTCTGTGCAACGGGACCCAATCAAAAAGGTGGCCAGCAGGAGAAAAGTCACATAGAGAGCGGTACGAATCCGGATAGGAAAGCTTGTTCGTCACACGGCTCCAGATTTTAAATCGATTGCACTTAAGGCAATAAATAGTCTGACAGATGTACGTAGTGATAGCACGAATCCGGACAAGGTCAGTTTACTAGG